CCATTATTGGCTTTTTTTTAAGGTGTCGAGTTATCTTTGATATGTAGATTCACAAAGGTGATTTGCCAACGGTCTTACGGCCTGCTCGAGGACTTGCAGCCTGGAACATTAACCTTGACAGTGAGTCGGAAAATCGCGGATTTTTTTTTTTAAACTTTATTTATTTAAATTTGTACATCTTCAAAGGGGTCTTGACCTAAGAGACCACCAAAAGGATTTTCGTCAGTGTTGGGGGTGGTCATCGTTATTGATACTTTCCTCGCCATCAGAAGAAGCGAGGAGCTCTTGACTAAATGTTCGAAGGGCTTGCTGTAATTTTACGTTTTTTATGCCTCCGTGAAGAGGTGGAACTTGTTGATTTGGAGGATTTGGTTGGGCTTGGTGGTTTGGCTGGTTGTTACATATGAACAGGCTCACCCGCCGGTTCTCTACCAGTACCGAAGAAGGAAGAATCAGTACCAGAACCGGACACGTCAGTCCCAAGAATCAACCTCGGATCCGTAGTATCTAGAAGATGACTCACACACATGACACGTCATGGAAAGAGAAGGAAGGAGGGAGCATGAAGAAGGGTGTGAGCAATACGGTTATATACGTTATGCAATTGTTGTTATTTCCTTTCATCTTTTGGAGAGATCAAAGTAGAGAGAGGGGAGAGGAGACTCCTGAAACATTTCCTGCTTTGTATATCGTTTTGGGATTTTGGAAAGAAAGCAAGTTCTTATTTCTTTGATTCCTTAAGGTTTATACATCGTAAAACGTAACAGTTGGTATCAGAGAGCATTTTCCGATCAAAGGGAAGATGGCTCCAAAACCGGATCAACGCTTGATCGCTATGGAGGCGAAGATGGTAGAGTTTCAAAAAGATTTAGCGGAGATGAAGCTTACCTCGGAAGCAAACATGAGCAACTTCGAGCGGATCGAACGGAGGATTGTGGAAGTAGCGGTGGAGCAACAACGCGAGAAGAGCTCGACTCCGATCGTTGCGACCACTGAACCCGTTCACGCGACACCGACCTTCGTGCAACGATCAGGAAAGGAGATTGTAAGAGAAGCATCAACTCAAGGAGGAAACTCGCCGATGGTGGAGTATGCAAGGGAGAATCCGTCGGGTATGCTTTTACAACAGCTAGGGCGACCGCCGGATTCCTAGAATGAACCGATGACGAGACGT